GGCAGGTCCCTATGTGGGGCCGCAGCTCATCTGCAGTTGCTGACTGCTCTGTAGTTTTGCAGCACCAACATATGTCGTTGCAGCGGGCGGATGAACGCTTGCGCTGACGACGTCGGGGCGCTGACGAAGTGCACAGACGTGGTGGCGGTATCAGTATCAGGTCGTCGAGTCGCAATTCTGGGACTCTGTTGTTGACTGGAATATTATACCATTGGCCCCCCGGATCCTGAAGCAAGTAGCCCAGCTCAGGATCCCAAAGCTGCCGAAAGCCATCAACCTCAATCAATTTCCCAACTGATAGTAGTGATGGACAGTCTGGCAAGGCAAGGGATGAACTATGTAAGCCAACCTCGGGTAGCCGTATGTCATAGTGCTCGTTGACAGTACGATCGCCATTGGCAGTTTCCAGAATATGCCCTTCGCGAATCGATATGCGATCCGATTCGGTCTGCGTCAGTTCATGATTACCCTGAATATGATGCGCAGAACCACTGTCGAGAACCCAAGATCGTGTCAATGCAGCAGTCAAGCGTGGTGGGTCGACTTGCATCGTCGTTGTCTTCGTCTGGACTTTCTTTGGTGACTGCTTGGTAGAGTCGTCATAATCTGGGATCGCAGTTGGTGTGACCACCGACTCCTTGTTGTGTCGGTAGTCGCATAGATCTTTGTACCACAGCTGCGCCTCTTTTTGACATTCTCGTAGAGCGTCTGCACTTTGATCCCACCATCGTTGTGGTAGCGGGTCTGGTACGTTGACAATGTCACCCTCGTTCGGCATCTCCCTCCACTTGTCCAAGCTGGCCCTGCCAGATACGGTATGTAGGTAGTAGTCCACATTACGTGTGTCGAAACGTATCCGACGGCGTGGTTTGGTAGATGTTGTAGTGACCTTAGACGCAACCGCGGTCGGAACGGCGTGAACGTCGATAGTTGGCGGGAGAACGTGCTCTGGCGTGGGAGAACCACGGGACGAACCACGGCTCGTGGAACGTCTGCCACGTCCTCTGTCACTACCATATGATCTATCACGGCCACGTGGGCTGCCACGTCCGCCGCCACGGTTGTCTCGTCCTCGGGAGGTAGATCTCGAAGATCTGTCGCAACGACTTCTCGACTGACTGCGAGAGTCTGGAGACCTCCTGGAAGATGAACGAGATCGGTCGTAGTGGCGTCGGTTGTCACGTCCATGGCGTGAGTCGCTTGCGGAGCGGAACCCCCCGCGTTGTGAATAACGTTGGCTCCCTGATCCGCGGGATGGTGGTCGGCCGCGACCATCCTGACTGGAGGTCCGTGGTCGGCTCGGGCTTCGCTCGGGAGTCTTCGCACCAGGTGTAAGATGAGCATATTTGCATTTGTCGCCCTTAGGGCACTTGTTCTGTGCGAAGTCTTTGCGCTGTGCAACGCGTGGGAACTTGCACTTGTCGCCTCTGGTGCATGTGTTGCGCTTGGCGAACTCGAAGCAAAATGGTTTCGATGCTGGCTTCTTGTGGTTCGCAGGGGTTGGCACGCTGCGGCGGGAGCTGCCACCAGCGGTCGATGCTCTGGAAGATCTGGTGTCCTTCCAATCCCTGGAATAGGTATGCAAAGCCTTGCATCGCTCACCATTGCGACAGTTGCCTTTCTTCCATGCAGCGCATACATTGACTTGAGAACGAGTTTCGTGTTCGTACCGTAACTCATTTTGATGCTTCTCCAATTGTTTGAGCTCCAGCACGTCCAGGTCGCGCCGCCGGGGCCAATCATAGGTACGATTCGGGCCGCTGATCTTCATGCGCTGGTACTCATACATGTCTTGTTTCATCCAGGCATGTCTGCGAATCTGTGTACGAAACAGAGATTCCAAAAACTTTGGGTCGGGTGCTTCTCGGCGCTCCAATAGTCAAGCGCCCCAGTCAGTAATGAAACGTTGCAAATCTTCATCTCTCATCCTCAGTTCTTTAAGGCGCTCGAAGTCGTGCAGGTAGTCATAAACCTCTGTCACTTTGTACGACTGTAGGATGTGCCAGTAGATCTGGCGTCCTTTGAGCATGCGTCCTGCTTTGTGCCCTCTGGTTTCGATGAGCCTGATTTGGTAGCGCAAGTCTGAGGATAAGATGTCGCTCAGAGCGGCAGCGAGTTTGCAATCGATGCTCTCGAAGTCTCCACTGTCTTGTAAGTCCTCGAAGGTACACTCGGGCTGTTCAGCCACGCATAGGAAGGCATATGCGTTGGATGGTCGCCCTGAGGCGGCGCCAAAATTCTTCCGCACCTTTTGCTGCCACTCGAGCAGCTGCGTGATCTTAGGCAAGACAGGGACTCGGACGGTGTCTGATTCCTTGATAGGAGTAGTAGTGTTGACCGAAACCGCAGACAATGGTTGTGAGGGTATCGGCACACCGTCAGTAGTCGGTTCTGTGCGCACAGGAGACACATGGCGTGTCTGTGCTGAAGCTGCCGCGGAGGCTGCTCCTGGTGACGTACGTCGTTGTTGTCCTGCAGAAGCTTGTGGTGCTTCGGCGGACGCTGCCGTCGGCCTGTGCAGGTCGGTTGCAGGTTGAAGGTGGAGTATGGTGTCATTGGTGTGGTCAATCAGCTGATTGGTCCAGCTCGTCATGTCTTCGTGTATCTGGTCCACCTGTTGGCGTGTGTACTCATCAGTATCCCGAGAACGTTGTGAATACCGATCAAGTCGTTGCTCGCGGGCTCGGAGACGGGCACCTTGTGCCTCCAACTCACTTTCCAGACGTGTGAGGTGCCCCTCAACACGTACCTTCTCAGTATCTCTCTCACGAATAACCTGGGAGAGCTCCAACTGCGTGTGGTCCGCCGCCTTCTCAACCTCCTGCAACCTGTCAGTGAGGCGGGCGAAATCGTAAACCGTGGGAGGAGAATCCAGCTGGCCAGTCTGGGCTCGTCCGACACGCAACTCTGCCAGGGCGTCCTGTACGCCAGGAGAGCGCTGCTCGATTTCAGAGATCCTGTTAGCGAGTGGCTGCACGACAGCGTTGGTCGCATCAAGCCTTCGAGCGATGACTCTCTCAGTACGTGGCAACATGTCGATCAGGTTCGACGAGTTGGCGTGCGCTTCGTTGCGAAGCGTCGCCGTAGTGTGGTCCATGTGGGATCGAAGATCATTGATCTGAGACTGAACGTCGCCAAGGTCGGTGGCCTCGGCTGGTGGTGGTCGGTTGCGGAGCTGGTCATGGATCTCGTCGTGGAGGATCCTGACTGCGGAAACGCCAGTGTCGCGTACGAGCACAAGCTGTTGCTCCACCTGCGCGAGATAATTGCGCAGGTTCTCGACCATCGCCGTTCGTTCACCTGAGCGTGACACCTCACGGTCAACCTGGTACTGCAGCTCACCTATGATGCGTCGATCTCCGGCGATCCTGGAATCGATGATCCCTAAGGCGCCGCCAAGATCTTGGCGCATGGCAGCAGCGTTGGCAGCGTTCGTCTGAACGCTCTGCAGTAGTCCAGAGTATTGCCTGGGCACGAAGGTTTCAACCTGGTCTCTGAGCTCAGCTATTTCACCTGCAGCGGACGTCGCCGCCAGCGGGTCGTCTGAGATGGAGAGGTGGGGAGCGTGGGCGCCCCCCTGCCCCCTCTCGCGAGGAGTGCTTGGCCTCTGAGAGGCTGCGCGCGGGCTCGACCTACTCTCGCCGCATGGGCCTGGGGCCCCACGACGGTTGCGCGCGGACGAGCTGCGGCTAGGACCGTGTGTGTGCGGTGTCTCATCCGATGATACCTTGGGGTACTGCGTCTGCGGCTGTGCCGCCACTGGTCTACTGAGTTCCTCGAAGGTGGCTACGTGCTCCGCGACAGGAACGGTCGCAGGGCTGGGGGTACCAGCACCTGAAGTCCATCGGCGGTTAGCGCGAAAGCGCCCTGGAGTATCAGGGCCAGCGAGGCTTTCGCCTGACGCAGTTGGGATTGCTCCCGACGGAGGAGGAGATGGAGGATCGAAGGTAGGCGTGCGAAACTCCTTCCTACATGCTCCTATTCCTTCTCTTGTCCCCCCGCGGGCGGCGTTGCGGTGAAGTTCAGCAGCCAGCCGCGCCTCGGGTCCGTCGGAGCTGGGGGGGGGTACCTGGGACACCAACACAGTCCGCACTAAGGCTCTCCAACTCGTCACCGAGCCGTCGCGCCGTCGGAGAGCTCGGACGCGAGGCCCCGACGGACCCCTTACGGCGCATGCGCCGTTTGGGTTCCATCGAGGCCGCGTGCGAGATCGCGGCGCGGGTTTCGATGAACTGTGAGCTTTAAGGGGCTGATAACCTGTGTATGGGGTTGAAGTACAAGGGTACAGAACCCCTGATCCGCTGGTAGAGGGAAGGAGGGAGAAATGGATGTCTTTCCCTCCTGCACGATCAAAGGTCTGATCGATATGTCCCAATACCTGAGCCCAAACGGCCAGGCGCAGGAGAGGTGAGGATAAGGAGTATATATGAGGGTATTACACGGGTTCTATTCACACAAGAGGCCTCGAAGAGGCCTCCCAGGAGGACCCCAAGAGGCAAACATCATTGATTGTTCTGCAATGTTTGAAAGATTTAGGAGTTCGTGCCTTTTTTCGGTTTTGCGACGCAAGACAGCCCAGGAGTCCCCCAAGACCGCCCAAAAAAACAAACGGCCAAGGAGGCCTCCAAGAGGGCCCCAAGACGGCCTGAGAGCGCCCCAAAACGGCCCAAGAGGGCCCAAGACGGCCCCAAAAGGGGCACAAAAGAGGGATCAGGAAGCGAAAATCCTAGCTTTCCGCCCCAAGAGGCTCCCAGGAGGCCCCCAGAGGCGCCCAGGAGACCCACAGATTTCCCTGGAGGCACCAAGAGGCCCAAAAGAGGCACAGAAGAGGCCCCAAAACGGCCCCACAGGGGCCTTCAAGCTGCCTCCAAGAGGCCACCGAGAGGCCTACCACGAGATCCCAAAGAATATACAGTAGGTTTCATCACACCCACAAACCAGGCACGGTGGCGGGAAGGGCCCGACGCCATTGGATAGCAAGACCAATTTCACGAACACGCCAATGTTTCATCATCTGGAGGTGTGCGCGTATGCTGCTGTGAGAGGCAGCAGGAGGATTGATTGATGTCAGTAGAAGCGTCGATTGCAGTTCGGCATGCATGGCCGCGGCCCCTGAAATGTGCCAGCCAGTCGCCCAAACTTCCCAGACACATTTCAGTTGCCACCTGGTCGCTTTGTCGCGCTCCAACACAAGATCCCCTGAGACGTTAATCACGGTGGTCATGCCGATCCTGTTTGGTACGAGGTTTGACTATGGCTCCTCTAAGCCGTGAGCGGCTCGGCGCACATGTCACGACAAGCAAAACACTGCAGCACGGCATCGCGGGATATCCATTGCGCAGGCCAAGTGGCATCATGGGAATACACCAGTGCACGCGACAGGCGACCAGAAACAGGTTCGTGGAAGATTGCTAAGAGATGTCTCGTGCCAATGTCGTACCCATCGGTGGGGCAAGTACTGGGCGACAAGGAGGCACAGACGATACTGATCAATAGACGCGCCGCTTCCAACTCGGGGTGCATGGACGTGCTCCCTGGGATGTCTGGACCACTCTGCTTCCAAATCTGCCAGCCCGTGGCCGTCAGGGTGTCAATGACACATCTAGCTGCTGCCCTGTGGCCTCGTCGGGATGTCGAAAGATTCCATGAAACGTACATTATGCCAGTCAGCAGGCTCAGCTGCGGGCAGCATCATGACGGAGCAATTATTGCCAAGGAAGTTCTAGTGCTCGCTCAGGCGCCGGGTCTGCCAGACAGTTCGCTTCCCAGAATACATGCCTTCTGAACCACTTTGACCCCTCCTGTGCTGGCCACATGGCGTGGGCAGAAAAATCCTTGAAGAGGGCGTCGATGCCAATTGCCACGAGCTGCTGATGATGTTGTATTTTGCTTGCGGGTGATGGATACGACAGTTACGACATTGATGATCATGGCGATGCGATTGTTGTTCAGCATCAGAAATACCCACTACAGTGATGCCTAAACTACATGGGTAGATCTGGTTAATGCTGCGTGGAACGAGATGTCCAATGCTGCGAGGCGGACAGATCCAACCAACGCTGCACTCAGAAATTCAAGGGAAGCACCCTGAGTCAGGGTGCCTCCGATCAGCCTGTACATTCGCTGCCTTGTGGTACCTAAACGGAGCAAGGCGCTGTGAAATCTACACGCGCACTTTGGTGGAGCGTGCGCCGAGATTAGAACAAGTGGCACGCGTGCCCTGGCTCTTGCACCAAGGAGCTGCGAGGGGCAGGAGGCGTTCGCCTCCTTCCCCCAGGAGTTTCCTTCTGTGGCCGGGGGGGGGGACGAACGGCGAATGACGAACGAACGACGAACGAAAATAAAGAGGTCCGAGCTCTAGAACACAGCTGTGCAAGAGAATAAAATGGTCGGGGCGGAGGGGGCGCTGGGCGGGCGCTGGAGCCGCGGGGGCGCTGAGACGGCGCGGGGGAGGGGGCGGAGCGGGGGGGGGGTGCGGTGCCGAAATAAAGTGGTCGGGGCGGAGGGGGCACTGGGCGGCGCTGGAGCCGCGCGGGGGCGCTGAGACGGCGCGGGGGAGGGGGCGGAGCGGGGGGGGGTGCGGTGCCGAAATAAAGTGGTCGGGGCGGAGGGGGCACTGGGCGGGCGCTGGAGCCGCGCGCGCGGGGCGCGGGGGTGGTGCCGAAATAAAGTGGTCGGGCGGAGGGGGCACTGGGCGGGCGCTGGAGCCGCGCGGGGGCGCTGAGACGGCGCGGGGGAGGGGGCGGAGCGGGGGGGGGGGTGCGGTGCCGAAATAAAGTGGTCGGGGCGGAGGGGGCACTGGGCGGGCGCTGGAGCCGCGGGGGGGCGCTGAGACGGCGCGGGGGAGGGGGCGGAGCGGGGGGGGGGTGCGGTGCCGAAATAAAGTGGTCGGGGCGGAGGGGGCACTGGGCGGGCGCTGGAGCGCTGCGCGGGGAAGGGGGCGGAGCGGGGGGGGGGGGGGTGCGGTGCCGAAATAAAGTGGTCGGGGCGGAGGGGGCGATGGGCGGCGCTGGAGCCGCGGGGGGGCGCTAGAGACGGCGCGGGGGAGGGGGCGGAGCGGGGGGGGGCGGTGCGCCGAAATAAAAAAGGCGGGGGGGCGCCGCTGGGCGCCGGGCCGCGGGGGCGCTGAGACGCGCGGGGGAGGGGGCGGAGCGGGGGGGGGTTTGCGGTGCCGAAATAAAAGTGGTCGGGGCGGAGTGGGCACTGGGCGGGCGCTGGAGCCGCGCGGAGTCGCTGAGACGGCGCGGGGGGGGGGGCGGAGCGGGGGGGGGGTGCGGTGCCGAAATAAAGTGGTCGGGCGGAGGGGGCACTGGGCGGGCGCTGGAGCCGCGCGGGTGCGCTGAGACGGCGCGGGGGAGGGGGCGGAGCGGGGAGGGGGGGTGCGGTGCCGAAATAAAGTGGTCGGGGCGGAGGGGGCACTGGGCGGGCGCTGGGAGCCGCGCGGGGGCGCTGAGACGGCGCGGGGGAGGGGGCGGAGCGGGGAGGGGGGGTGCGGTGCCGAAATAAAGTGGTCGGGGCGGAGGAGGCACTGGGCGGGCGCTGGAGCCGCGGGGGGGCGCTGAGACGGCGCGGGGGAGGGGGCGGAGCGGGGAGGGGGTGCGGTGCCGAAATAAATCGAGCGGAGGGGGCGCTGGGCGGGCGCTGGAGGAGGGAGGGCGGAGCGGGGGGGGGGGTGTGCGAAATAAGTGGTGTGGAGGGCACTGGGCGGGCGCTGGGCCGCGCGGGGCGTGAGACGGCGCGGGGGAGGGGGCGGACGGGGGGGGGGGTTGCGGTGCCGAAATAAAATGGTCGGGGCGGAGGGGGCGCTGGGCGGGCGCTGGAGCCGCGGGTGCGCTGAGACGGCGCGGGGGAGGGGGCGGAGCGGGGAGGGGGGGTGCGGTGCCGAAATAAAGTGGTCGGGGCGGAGGGGGCACTGGGCGGGCGCTGGAGCCGCGCGGGGGCGCTGAGACGGCGCGGGGGAGGGGGCGGAGCGGGGAGGGGGTGCGGTGCCGAAATAAAGTGGTCGAGGCGGAGGGGGCACTGGGCGGGCGCTGGAGCCGCGGGGGGGCGCTGAGACGGCGCGGGGGAGGGGGCGGAGCGGGGGGGGGGTGCGGTGCCGAAATAAAGTGGTCGGAGGCGGAGGGGGCACTGGGCGGGCGCTGGAGCCGCGCGGGGGCGCTGAGACGGCGCGGGGGAGGGGGCGGAGCGGGGGGGGGGTGCGGTGCCGAAATAAAGTGGTCGGGGCGGAGGGGGCACTGGGCGGGCGCTGGAGCCGCGCGGGGGCGCTGAGACGGCGCGGGGGAGGGGGCGGAGCGGGGAGGGGGGGTGCGGTGCCGAAATAAAGTGGTCGGGGCGGAGGAGGCACTGGGCGGGCGCTGGAGCCGCGGGGGGGCGCTGAGACGGCGCGGGGGAGGGGGCGGAGCGGGGGGGGGTGCGGTGCCGAAATAAAGTGGTCGAAGCGGAGGGGGCACTGGGCGGGCGCTGGAGCCGCGGGGGGGCGCTGAGACGGCGCGGGGGAGGGGGCGGAGCGGGGGGGGGTGCGGTGCCGAAATAAAGTGGTCGGGGCGGAGGGGGCACTGGGCGGGCGCTGGAGCCGCGGGAGGGCGCTGAGACGGAGGGGGCGCATGATGATGATGATGATGATGGATGATGATGATGATGATGATGGTGATTATGATGGTGATGATGGTGAGGATGATGGTGATGATGATGATGATGATGATGATGATGATGATGATGATGATGATGATGATGATGATGATGATGATGATGATGATGATGATGATGATGATGATGAAGGGGGGGGGTGCGGTGCCGAAATAAAGTGGTCGGAGCTCTAGACACCCTGTGCAAGAGAATAAAGCATGGCATACACACAGACACTATTTGGAGTCCCGAAACGGTGCGGTGACGGACCGTGCGGTGACCTCGAAATCCCCCAAGACATCACCGCACGGTCCGTCACCGCACGGTCTTGGGACTCCGGAGACCCGTCGCCCAAGACATCTTCGGAGAACGACCCGAGTCCCAAAACCGTGCGGTGACTCCGAATACCCACCGACTCACCACACGGTGCGGTCACCACCCCGTTTGGGGGCCCTCGACACACACACACACACACACACACACACACACGCACACGTTCGAAGATCCGCCCGGACGCTGCCACTGGGGCCCAGGGCAGATACAACAAAACAATCAGCGCGGGCATCCAACAGTGTGTGCGCATACATATATACATATATATGTGTCTATATAGTTATGAGCGTACATGTATATGTATATGCATACGTATTATGATAGGTGTATGTCTATGTATATGTATATGTGTATGTATGTGTATGTGCATGTGTATGTGTATATGTGTATGTATATGTATATGTACAGGTGTATGCATATGCATATGTAAATATGTGTGTAAATGTTTATGTCTATGTACATGTATATGTATATGGCTATGTATATGTATATGTGTATGCATATGTATATGTATATGTATATGTAGATGTAGATGCATATGCGTATATATGTGTGTATGCACGTGTAGTTGTAGATGTGTATGCATATGCATATATATGTATGTAAATGTAAATGGTTATGTATTTGTATAGGTATGTGTACATGTATATGTATGTGTATGTGTATGCTTATAGTCATCCGTATATGTATGTGGATATGTATGTGTCGATATAAAGGTTTATAGTTGAACCTATGTAACTGTATGTATATATGTATGTGTATGTATATGTGTATGTGTATGTGCATGCGTATGTGTATGTGTACGTGTATGTATGGATGTATGTACGTACGCATGTATGTATGTATGTATGTATGTATGTATGTGTATGTGTATGCATGGATGCATGTGTGTATGTATGTATGCATGCATGCATGCATACATGCATGTAGGTAGGTAGGTAGGTAGGTAGGTAGGTAGGTCGGTAGGTAGGTAGGTAGGTAGGTAGGTAGGTAGGTAGGTAGGTACGTAGGTAGGTAGGTAGGTAGGTAGGTAGATAGGTAGGTAGGTGCATACATATATATATATATACATATATATGTATTATCGTTTCCTGCTTCCCTGTAAAGATGACGGGCCCATCCCCTCCTGTCCTCCTCCTCCCGCTGATTCGTGCACGTGAGCGTTTTCCCATTCGGCGTTTTCGACATTAGGCGGAGGGGTGAGGGAGGGCGGGGGGGTCTGGCTCCGGACCTCTGCTTAATGAGACTGCTTGCAGCAGTGCGTCCCGGGTGGGAGACTCCACCTGCTCGAAACAGCGAAACAGGCGCCAAAAACAGCCAGGATCTATTCCAGGGGGGGGGAGGGGACGCGGGCCCGCGCCGATCAGCAAAAAACTGCATCAGAGAACGACCACCACTTTTTGTAGATTGCATCGTCCACGTCCTCTCTCGGCACACAGTATGGTTAAGTCGGGCGTGTCCCCCTACAGGGGGACCTTGGTCGGAGAATAAAAAATACTCCAAAAATGCCCCCCGAATGGGCAACAAAATGTCAAAAAACATCGTCCCCCGACCCTTTTTGCTCCTATTTTTTGATAAGAGTCCCCCCTGTAGAGGGACAGGCCCGACTTACACTTATGATAGATTGCTTCCTCCACACGTCCTCTCTCTCGGCACACAGTGTGGGGCAGCGCAAGACGCCCCGCGGGGCCAGGCCCGCGAGCAAGACGCCAGGGCACCCTGCGGGCCGGTGCCGCCCCTTCGTGCCAGCAGCGCGCGCCGGGAGGCTCGTGCGCGTGGGCGCGGAGCACCGCGGCCCCCCGCGGAGGTCAGGTCGACGAGGGGAAGACAGGGAAACGAACAACGAGGGGAAGACGAGGGGAAGACGAGGGGAAGACAGGGAAGACGAGGGGATGACAGGGGAAGACGAGGGGAAGAGACGAACAACGAGGGGAAGACAGGGGAAGACGAGGGAAGACGAGGGGAAGACAGGGAAACGAACAACGAGGGGAAGACAGGGAAGACGAGGGGATGACAGAAACACAAAAACTCGGAGGTCCGCGCGGGTGTCCCGGATCGGCGCTGGAAAACCCCCTGGCGGCGTCTCCGGCGCCGCCCCTGGCGCGCTCCGCGCGCCAGGGATGGGGGTCCAGCGCCGCTGCGCGAAACCCGCGCAGACCTCCGAGTTTTTGTGTTCATGTCATTGTCAATTTGTTCGTTCCCTCAGAAGAGGAAGGCAGAGTTCGGTGGCAACTCATGGGAGCCTCCGATACCATCTTGCCGGCTCGTGCGGATCGACGCTAATGGACGCCAAACCGACGCAAATCGATGCCAAATCGACGCCGATCGACGCTAGTCGAGGCTAAGTCGGCGCTGCCTCACCGACTCCAGACGCGCTAATCAGCGCTAATCAACGCTAAAGAATGAGTTAAGAGGGTATACCAGGCTCCTATGATTTGCTACCGAAGTACAGAGCGCCAATCTCCTGCCAAGAGCGAGTGTGGGCCAACAGCCGAACACTCGGCCGCACCAAAAAGAACCCACTGCAGCACTTCTGGCACGCGGCATATGGATCGACTAAGCCAGTAGTTTTGAATGCCCAGGCAAACGTCACGAGGAAATGCCTGCCATAATCCGCCACCGCGCCGTAGTCACTGAGTGGAGTCTCCTCAGGTCCCCTCGAATTCTGTATTGACGATTGCAAATGCTATATTTCAAGCGCCCTGAGCCCCGTTTAACGTCCCCGAGCGTCCCGCATGACTTTTCCAGACGACAGAGACCCTCAAGACGGTCCGGCTCAAGAGGCTCCCAAGAGGGCCCCAGCCAGAAGTGTCCAGGAGGCTGCGATATTGCCCAAGAGCGCTCCGAGACGGCTCAAGACGGTCTCCAGACGGCACACGAGGCCTCTAAGACGCCCCACTATGGCCCAGAGACTGCCCTCAAGAGGGCACCAAGATACCAAAATCCACCGACCGCTTGGGGCCAGTCGGCGTGTGACGTGTTGCCCATCCTCAAAAGTTTGGGGAAGGCTTTCGACCCCTCCCCGTGGGAACAAGGAAAGGCGACACCAACACCAGCAGGGCGAGGAGGTGCGAGGAGGCAAGGGGAGTCTCCCTGGTGGTGTGGCCCCCGCCTCTCGCTCGAGACATCCCCAGCACCCAGCTCGGGGAGGCATCGTGGACCTCCTCGCTGAAGGGGGGCCCCCTGGTGTTGGTATCGCTTGAGCAGGGACCGACCGTCCCGGCATTTCTATCGTCCTACCACGAAATGTTCTCAGAACCCAAAAATGTTCTAAGAACAATACCAATGTTCTTAGAACATCAACCCGATGCGTTAAAACAAAACAGTCCCGGCCAGAAGTGCTCCAAGAACATCTCGCGGGAGCCACAAAAAGGTTCTGAGAACATGGTTTGGTAGGGCCATCGCCACGCCGGGACGCTTCGCCACTGCTTGAGAATCGCTTCTCCTCCCTCCGACCCCGGGGAGGTGTGTCCAGGCCGGCTTGGAGGGCTGGAGGGGCGGTAGAGGCCTCCTAGGTGGGGTCGGAGTAGATGGGGTCGGAGGATCGCGCCGCATCGCCGATACATCGGCAATACATCGGCGATGCATCGGCGATGCATCGTAGACTTCGGCAATGCATCGGCGACGCTGACGTGAAGCAAAACGGGCTGCACATCGAGCCTGCAAAACGACGATGAATCGGCGATGCATTGGCGATGCGGAGCGATCCTCCGACCCCATCTACTCCAGATTTCGTAATAAAGGGAGGGGGGTCTCATTTCGGGGGGGGTCTCTTCCAGGCTATCTTGGAGGGCCTGGGGGGGTCTGGGGGCGATGTTTGGGAGGGTTCTCCCACGGGGGAGGTCTGAAATGGCTTGTCTTGGAGGGTCCAGACCCCCCCCCTTTTACTACGAAATCTGGAGTACTCCGACCCCATCTACGAGGCCTACAGAGGCGGGCGGACCAGAGCCCTGGCGGTGCTGGCGGCCCGGGCGCCGTTCTCCCGGACGGGCTCCCGCGGCTCTGCCATGGGGGGGCCGCCGCGGCCTCCCAGCCGCCTCGCCGGGCGCTCCGCGTGGCCCCGGGCGGCCACAGGAGGGCCCACGGTTCGGGGATCTTCTGACCCCCCCCCCCACGGTTCGGGGATCTTCTGCCCACATCTTCGGGGCTCTTGTCTTCCCCCCCCCCCACTTCCCATCTTTTCCCATATATTGTCTGGGGGGGATCGACGAGTCATGGTGCCTGTGTGTGTTCCCCCTCCTGACTGACAAAAACATCGCGACTGATCCTGAGATCCGACGTTGCGAACAAAAATCACCACATCGGGGATCTTCTGACCCGGGTCAATCCAGACCCGAGTCAGCAGGAAACCAAAAACTGCAGTGCAAGAAAACAAAACAAAAATAAACAACAAGAAAACAACAAAACATAACAAACAAAAAAAACTGCAACGCAGGTCTTCGCAGACCCGGGTCAGCCAATAGGCGCGGCCGCCTCGCGGCCACGAGCGGCTCGCCAACCCGGGTCAGCCAGAGGGGGTCTTCGCAGGATCCTGCAGGATCCGGCGCCCTGGCTGACCCCCGTCTGCACTGACCCCCGTCTCGAGACTCCCGAACGGTGCTCTCGGAGCAGCTCCGGCGACCTCTGCGATGTTCTCGGAGCGCTTGATGACGAAGGCCTGCCTTGACAAGCAAAACGTGCCCCACGTCCTGCGGAAAACTGAAATCTTCGGATGTCAATTTTCGTCGCCGTTCGACTCGCCCAAGACGGCCTCAGATGTTTGCAAGGTCGCCCCAAGACGGCACAACACGCCTCCAAGAGGCCCCAGGACGGATCCAGGCGGCCCTGGGATGGCCAAAGAGGTGCCCAAGACAGCCCAAGAGGACCCCAAGCGGGACTGAAGACAGCCCAAGATGGCCCCAGGACAGCCCCAACAGGGCCCAAAGAGGGGCCCAAGACGGCCCAGGAGAGTCCCGATAGGCCTCCAAGAGGCCCGAACGAGCCCCCTGGAGGCTCCAAGACGGCCCGAGCGGCTTCACACTGCCTCCAAGAGAGGGGCTGGACGAGAGGCGAGAGGCCCCTCGCAGAGGCTCCCGTAACTGGGGGAACCGCGGGGCGGATCCTGGGGGAACCGCCTGGGGCGGGGACCACTGCCCGCCCCCTTAAGCTTACAGGGTAAGAACCCTTCTAGGCAGAGCCTAGGTAGGGAATAAAAAGATAGTACTTCACAATAACGAGGGACATGCCCGACTTAGAGGGACACGCCCGACTTCACAATAACGAGGCCTCGGAGAGCCCACATGAGACTCGATAGGGCCCAGGACCAAGAGGGCGTCCGTCGGGGTGCAGGACCTGCCGTGCGCGAGGCACGGCCTACCGGGGCAACGAGGCAGCCCCTAGAGGCCTTCAGGACAGCCTCCCGGGGGCGAGCCGAAACGCGCCCCCACAACGAGGCCCCCAAAGACCCCGACACGAAGTACCACAAGGGGGCCACGGTTGGGCCCCACGACGACCCCACGGAGGGAGCTCGCCAAGAGAGCCAAAGTGGCCCCAAGACTGGCCCGCGAGGCCCCAGGATGCGCCACGAAGCCACTTGAGAGACACCAAAGAGAGGTGTCGTCTGTCGGCCACTGGAGGCGGCGGTGACTCGCCGGAGGCGTTCGCCGCTCTGCGTCACATCCGAAGGGGTGCCGGGCGTGCTAGACCATGAGGTTATCGCGGGTTTGACTCCCGAAATATCTCCGCGCTTTCGGCATATCCCCAGCCGCCGCCGCCAAAGCCGTCCAAAATTTAAAACTATGCCAGCAATGCGTCCAAACATTGAGCGGGGACCGACCGTCCCGGTATTCTTATAGTCCTACCACGAAATTTTCTTAGAGCCCAAAAATGTTCGAAAAACAAAAACAATGTTCTTAGAACATAAGCCTCATGCGCTAAAACAAGACAACCCCAGCGAGAAATATTCTAAGAGCATTTTGTGGAAACCGCAACAGGTTCTTAGAACACTGTTTGGGTGGGCTATAGGCACGCCGGGACGCCTGGCCACTGCTTCAGAACAGGCATTCCACCCAGCCGCAGACGGCCGCAAAACCGCCCGGGCGAGCTTTAGGCGGCGCTCGGCTGGCCAGAGCACGGCCCCCAAATAGGTCTCTCGAGCCCTCCCGCCGAGACCGTCGCTCCAAGAGGGCCCAATTAGGATCCGCAAACTGACGTCGAAGAAAACAAATACTGTGACCGAGAGATAGTTTTTCCTAGGGGAACAAAAAGTGGCATAAACATAAAAACTCGGAGCTCGGCGCGGACTTCTCGGATCGGCGCTTTGGCCCCCTGGCGGCGCCTCCGGCGCCGCCCCTGGCGCGCTCCGCGCGCCAGGGAGGGGGGTCCAGCGCCGATCCGAAAAGTCCGCGCGGACCTCCAAGTTTTTATGTGCCTTTCACTTTTTGTTCCCCTATTTCCTGAGAAATAAATAAAGTTCGGGTTTGGGTTCGGGCAGGAAGGAAATCAGAAGTTCGAGTTCGAACCCCCCAAGAACCCAAAGTTCGAAATAAGTTCAAGACGGCCCCCTGGCACAACGACGACTTGTTTCGAACTGCACCCAAACTGCTCTGAAACTGTATAACTTTTTAAACGTTTGAACGTTCTTCGAACTTGTTGAGCTTTCCTCACCTGTTTGAACTGTTTTTGAACAGTTGAACTTTTTTGAGTTGTTGAACTGTTTTTGAACTTTCGAACTTGTTTCGAACGTGTTCCTCGCCGCCGGGCGCTATCTGAACTTTCCCCGAGCTTGTTGCTCGCCGCCGAACTTTTTCCGAACTTGTTTCTCGCCGCCGAACTTGTTCCGAACTTTTGACGAACTTCAGGATTCCAGCAGCGTTGAACTTGCACTTTGTAAAAACATTGGTCTGACACTTTTCCCGAACTTGGGATAGTTAACAGAAAGACCGTTCACGTCCCCTCAGCCTGTTACAAAACTAATCGCCCTTCCTCAAGCGACAAAGATAGTTCCGAGAAGGCCTCGGAGAGCCGCAGTATGAGGGCCCCCAGAGGACGACAAATGAGAAGTAACTTGGCCAAATATTGCCCAGGACGGCCCCGAGAGGGCCCTCAGAGGGCCTTCGGAGGTGTCCAGGACGGTCCAACAGAGCATCAACAAATCCAAGATGGCCTCAAGACGGCTCCCAGAGGACACCCAAGTCACCTCGAGAGAACCCCCAGGCGGCCAAAGCGTTCCCCAACAGGGCCAAAGAGGGTCTCAAAATACCTCCGAGAATGCCGAAAGCAGGGCCCCAAGAAAGCCCCAAGAGAGCCTCAAGGCGGCCCAGGAAGAAAATCGCCAAGGCCAAATAGTCCTCGAAACTGGCTGAATCGCTGGAGGTGCATTAGATAATTCACACCGTAAGTAGTTCCCTGTCTACAACCACCACGAGGGGACCTCACGATCCAACCCATGAAAGTTGAGGGTGAACTCGAATTCGCACAAGGCTGCCAAACTGGCCGAGCGCACCGCTGGTACTGCGGCGGTCGTTCAAAAGCCGGACGCCGCGGTGATGGTGCAGTTCCTTGCAAAAGATCCCGGTCCAGATAATAATGATGATCACGACGATGCAGATGATGATGATGATGGTGATGATGGTGATGATGATGATGACGACGACGACGATGATGATGATGATGGTGATGATGATGCTGACGACGATGACGATAATGATGTTGATGATGCTGATGACGATAATGATGATGGCGGTGATGGTGATGTTGATAATGATGATGCTGATGCTGATGATGGTGATGGTGATGATGATGATACTGCTGATGATGACCATGCTGATGATGAGGATGATGCTGATGCTGATGCTGATGCTGATGCTGATGCTGATGATGATGATGATGATGATGATGATGATGATGATCGCAATGATGACCCTAGCGCCGTTGACTGGACTCATGTTGAGACAATCCTTCCAGTGGATGCAGCGATCCCCATGATGACGAACACCTGCATCGCCTCGGAGTTGCCCACGTCCACTGGAAGAAACCGAGTGCAAGCCTCAACGAATGCGCCGCTAACCTCGGCAGGGCCCACACACGCTTCGGGCACCGTGGTCGCGACCACGAAGAGCACGGACAGCAACATCCCGAGCGCTAGCGCCACAGCGCGAGCCCACGAAGGCGTCGCCATGGTGCCGCCAACTGGGGCACTCGACGCATTGAGGACACCGGCACTGCTGGCGCCATTGGCGGCGCTGGTGCAGAAGCTGTGGCTGTTGCCTGTCGTTGGCAGGCTCGACATATGAAGCAAGGCAGCGCGTAAGCGCGACGCACCCCAGGGCGCCTGCTACTGGCACTTAGCACATGCCGGTTGTTTCTTCCTCTGCGAGTGTGTGGGCTAACGCTGGCCGGGCACGGGTTGAACCCAAGCGGCCACGTGAGAATGACAATTCCGATGATGACAAGGATTAAGTCGGGCCTGTCCCTTTACAGGAGGATTTTCAAACGAAAAAAACAAAAAATACCCCAAAAATAGTCAAAACATGCTCCAAAAATAGTCTGGGGACTATTTTTTGAGTATGTGTTGACCTTTTCGGGGTATTGTTGGGGTATTTTTTCATTTTCCATCGAGAATCCCCCTGTAGGGGGACAGGCCCGACTTACGACAAGGACGATGCTGATGCCGAGAGCATCGAAGAGACGATGCCACAAGCTGGAGGCGGCCCAGCCCTCTGCCTGAGAGGCCAGGACCCCCTGGCTATCCCCCCTGCTGCTGGCCCGCCGGGGGGGTTCCAGGAGCCTCGCCGCGCGGCAGTCGGGGCAGCCGTCGGGGCGGACCGGCCCCATACAGGGCAGGTTTTAATGCATAGGATTAAAAAAACATCGGATTTTGAATACATGATCCATTTATGAATGAATGTATGCATGAACTCATCGCTGTTTTCAATACGAAATCCCAGCATTTCCAATACATGATCCGCACGCGGAGCATGTATTAAAAACGGCACTGTACTTGGAGCATCGTTCAACCGATCCCTATCCACACGGGCGTGGCCTGGGCCCCACTGTAACCAGCCTCGAGCTCAAACCCTATCCCCAAGGTCGGTAAGCCCTAGGCGATGACAATCTGAAGGATGTGCCCTCCGAAACTGCGGGACTCCTCAAGACCGTCTGCTAGGGAAGCCGATGCCAAACATGGGGGTAGAGATGCGCTTCAGGCTGGCAACACTGGCCGATGGACCCAGGTGGGCAGATGGGCTGCTCCCTGCGAATCTCGAGTGGCACGCCCTCGGCTGGGATGGTGGGCCGCATGCTGTCGCCCCGTGGGAGACAGGGGACCGTGGATTTGGTTGACCCCAAAAGGGGGTCCAGCTGAAATGGGGTGGTGCAGTAGATTGGGGTCAATTGTGCTGCGACCTGCGCCAGAGAGTCGTCTGATGTTGTTGTGTATCGGAACGAATGCACTCCTTGCGAAAATCTAGCACTGCGTTTGCGCATCGGAACCACACATGGATTGCATCAAATCTACTGCACCACCCCCAAGTGTAGCTGGACCCCCAATTGGCGTCAGCCAGAAGTTGGGAGCGGCCAAGAGGGGGGTGTCCAAGAGGGGGGGGGGGGGGGGGCAAATCATGGCCAGCGGGGGGGGGGCCAGGGACGTAATAAAATAAGAAGAGGCGCCGTGAAATCTGGGGAAACCTCATGGCCCCCGCCATGATATCCACCCCCCCTCCTAGTCCTCACCCCCCTCTGCACCACCCCTCCTTGTAGCTGGACCCCCCAATCGGCGTCGGCCAGAAGGCAGGAGGGCAGCAGCCGGGGCGGCCGCCGGAGCAGCCGCCGAGGCAGCAATGCTCTCCCCACCCACTCCCTCGGCGACCCCGCTGCCTTCCCCGGGGACTTGCCGTCGCTCGGGCGTCCATTTCCCGTGCATTTGTCGGTTTCGTGCGTGTTTTTTTTCCTCGATGGTCCAGGATGGTCCTCGGTGGTCCTCGCCGAGAGAAAAAAAAGCACACGTCCGAGCGATGCCAGGGGGGAGGGGGTCCAGGAATCACGGATACGGTCGGGCTGCGGAAAGAGGGAACGCTAAATAGGGAACGAAGCCCCTCCGTGCCCCAGGAGGGCAAGAGGAACAGCACTGGAGGAGCCTGAGGAACATCGAGCCCCTTCCGAACCCAAACGGCTCCTTGTTTCCGCGTCTTGACTGTCGACAGCAGCGAGGGGGCGACGGTCTGCGGCTCTCGGAGGGCGGCGGGGCTTCGCGGAAGCTCTCGCCCATCTGGGAAGGTCTGCGTCTTCGGAGACTTGGGCGCCCGAAGTGGGCACGGAAAAAATGCGTACAGGGCAATTTTTTAAACATAGGATTGTTAAAAACATTGGATCTTTAATACATCAATGTATGAATGTGTGCATGAACGCATCGTTGCTTTCAATACTAAACCATGCATTTTGAATACATGATCCGCACGCGGAGCATGTATTAAAAAAGGCACTGTACAATGCCCGGCAACAGATGTTGCCCAAAACCGACAGCGGCCGCTGCTGGGCAGGCGGCTGTATGGAACAAAGTCCTCGGCGGCGCGGACAGCGAGCCTTGCTCAAAATCAGCAGCAACTGCTGTTGGGCATCGTACCTCTTCTTTCCGTACCCACTTCTATCGTCCCGAGGAGCAAGCTTGGCGATCTTCTCGGAAGGCTGGAGGCCTTCCGAGCCTTCTGAGAAGGCCCGCTCCCGAGCGCGCGCAGCTCGAACGCGGCCCATAACGCCTCCCAGGCCGCCTCTTCGGGCCGAACGACTGCGACGAGCGACGAGCGACGACCTCCCTCCTCCTCCTCCCCTCCTCCTCCTCCTCCTCCTCCTCCTCCTCTCCTCCTACTCCTCCTCCTCCTCCTCCTCCTCCTCCTCCTCCTCCTCCTCCTCCTCCTCCTCCTCCTCCTCCTCCTCCTCCTCCTCCTCCTCCTCCTCCTCCTCCTCCTCCTCCTCCCCGAAGCCTGCCGAGACTTCCCCCCCAGGCTCGCCACCGAAATCTGGGCGGGGGGCGCCCTCCGCCGCTGCGAGTGGCTCCACGGCCCCCAAAGATCGCCCAAGAGGCCCAAGACGGCCCCAAGAGGCCCCCAAGACGGCCCAAGAGGCCTCCACGACGCTCAAGATGGCCTCCAAGACGGCCCGAGAGCCCTCCAAGACGTCATCCAAGAAGGCCCGAAAGGGTCAAAATGGCCTCCAGGCGGCCAAGATGGCCTTCAAGATGCCCACCTGTTCCCCGAAGGCGTTCCAAACCGATTCGGGGAACACATGGTCCGATAGCTTGGCAGGTCTGGCCTCAACGTTCGGCCACATAGGCGCTTCCAAAAAGGCAGGGGGCGGCGGTGATTCGCCGTAGGCGTCTTCGATCCGCCGCCCCCTGTCGGCTCATCGCAGGGGTGCCTGACGTGCCGAATCCTCTCGGTGTTGGTTTTGATTTATTGTCAAAAAGAACCCCCCCTGGGGCTTCGGCCCGTCCCGCCGGCCACCTGAAAGGATGCCGAAAGATTGCCCAGAGGTGGTTGCAAATGGCTTTTCCGTTCCAGACGGCTCCAAGATGGCCCAAGATGGCCTCCAAGACGCCTCCAAGACGGCCAAGATGGCCTCCAAGACGGCTAAGATGGCCCCTAAGATGCCTCCAAGACGGCCAAAGATGCACCCAAGACGGCCTAAGATGGCCTCATGGCCCAAAACGGCCCAAGAGGCCTCCAAGAGGGCCTCCAGGAAGGCCCAAGAGGCCTCCAAGAGGTCCTCCAGGAAGGCCCGAAGAGGCCAAAAGCATTGATTGTCCTTGAGTTTCTGAAGGATTTTGGTATTTGCGCCTTTTCGGCTTTCCGACGGCCCAAGACGGCCCAAGAGGCCCCCAAGGTCGCCCCAAGATCGCCCAAGAGGCCTCCAAAATGGCCCCATTACGGCCCAAGAGGCCCCCAAGACGGCCCTAAGAGGGCCCCAAGACAGCCCAAGAGGCCTCGAAGACGTCCAAGATGGCCTCCAAGACGGCCAAGATGGCCCAAGATGGCCTACAAGATGCCTCCAAGATGGTCCGAAAGCTTGGCAGGTCTGGCCTCAACGTTCGGCCACATAGGCGCTTCCAAAAAGGCAGGGGGCGGCGGTGATTCGCCGTCAGCGTCTTCGATCCGCCGCCCCCTGTCGGTTCATCGCAGGGGTGCCGGGCGTGCTAAACCCTTTCGGTTTTGGTTTAGTTTTGTTTGTTCAAAAGAACTCCCCCTGGGGCTTCGGCCCGTCCCGCCGGCCACCCGAAAAGGAGCACTATTCCCCAATTGTTCGCTCAAGATGGCCCAAGATGGCCTCCAAGATGGCCACGTTGGCCCAAGATGGCCTCCAAGATGGTCCAAGATGGCCTCCCAGTCCGCCCAAGATGGTCCAAGACGGCCTCCCAGACGGCCCAAGAGAGTCCAAAACGGCCCAAGACGGCCCAAGAGGCCCCCCAAAGGCCTCCAAGACGGCCCAAGAGGCCTCCAAGAGGTCCTCCAGGAGGGCCCGAAGAGGCAAAAATCATTGATTGTCCTCAGGTTTTTGAGGAGTTTGGCATTATTTTCTTCTCGGCTTGCCGACGACCCAAGGCGGCGCAAGAGGCCCCCAAGATCGCTCCCAGAGCGCCCAAGAGGCCTCCAAGATGGCCGCAGGACTGCCCAAGAGGCCCCCAAGACGGCCCCAAGAGGGCACAAAGACGACCCAAGAGGCCTCCAAGACGCACAGGATGGCCTCTAAGACGGCCCTGGAGCACCCCAAGAGGGCCCCGAGTCGGCCCAGAAAAGCCCCCCAAACGGCTTCCGACGGCGTCAGACGGGCCAGGAGCCCACCAAGATGGCCGAAGTTGGCTCGAAACTGGCCCAACACGGCCAAAGAGGCCTCCAAGAGGGCTTACGGGAAGGCCAGAAAAAAAAACACTGATTATCCTTAGGTTTTCGAAGGATTGTGGCATGTGCTTCGTTTCGGCCTTCCGACGGCCCGATACAGCCCAAAAGCCCCGAAAGATCGCCCAAAGATCGCCCAAGAGGCCTCCAAGATGGCCGCAGGACTGCCCAAGAGGCCCCCAAGACGGCCCCAAGAGGGCACAAAGACGACCCAGGAGGCTTCTAAGACGCCCAAGATGGCCTCTTAGACGGCCATGGAGCATTCCAACAGGGCCCCAAGTCGGCTCAGAGAGGCCCCCGAAACGGCTTCCGACGGCGTCGGACGGGCCAGGGCCCCACCAAGACGGCCGAAGATGGCACTAAGATGGCCCAAGACGGCCCAAGAGGCCTCCAAGAGGGCCTCCAGGAAGGCCCTAAAAGGCCAAAATCATGGATGTCCCATAAGTTCTTGAAGGATTGTGGCATTTGCTCCTTTTTGGCCTTCCGACGGCCCGAGACGGTCCAAGTGCCCCCAAAGATCGCCCAAGAGGCCCAAGACGGCCCCAAGGGGCTCTCAAGACGGCCCAAGAGGCCTCCACGACGCTCAAGATGGCCTCCAAGACGGCCCAAGAGCCCTCCAAGACGTCATCCAAGAAGGCCCGAAAGGGTCAAAATGGCCTCCAGGCGGCCAAGATGGCCTTCAAGATGATGCACACG